CTTTTGGTGCATTTCCTTCAGCCTCCTTCCTGAATCTTATATTTTACAAAATTGAGACTGCATGTTTAATTTTATGTTCTGCCCTTTTCAAATTGGGTCTTCTGTCCTCCATTCCATGTGATGATTTAATAAGCTGACCCCAGCACTGGAGAAATGGCTTTAGTGGTTTAAGAATGTATGCCATTCTTTCAGAGGACTTGAGTTTGGTTTCTAGTACCCACAACTGGGCCAACCATAGAACCTGCTCCAGGGAATCCAATGCCCCCTGCTTGCCTTTGTGTGAATTCTCTCTCTCTCATACACACCCTTCAAGGGCCGTTTTGTAGGTGTGCTTTCCCTCGTCTAGCTCAGCCTTGTTGGCACTGTGCACTGTTTCCATTTCCAGCCTGTAAATCATCTTGTATACACTGCTCTGTTAACCTCGGCCTTTCCCTTTAGAGCAGCGGTTCTCAACCTGTGGGTCCTGGCTAGCAGAAAATGCATATTTCTGATGGTCTTAGGACCCCCCCCCCATACATTTATTTGCATTGCTTTTTCATAGCTAACTTTGCTACTGAGTGGTGTCTCAGTTCCTAAGACTACTGGAAATATGTGTTTTCTGATAGTCGAGACCCACAGGTTGAGAACCACTGGTTTACATGGACCCTTTGAAGCAGAGCGTGGACATGTTAAAGACCTTATTACAGATCACTCAAGTCATCAGCTGGAAGGTTACTCTTAGTGCCTCATCTGGGCCTGATCCTAGAAATGAATTCTACAACCGGCTCTCCCCTGGGACAGGAAATGACCTATGAGAAAGTGAGGTCACCTCAGTTTACCTTATTCCCTTAGAAATTGTGCACTTCCGGTTAGATCTGAAACTGGTTGATGTGGAGGGCTGAGGCTGTGACCTCTCCTCTGGAATGTTGTTCTGTGAACATGTGGTGCACGTTTGAATATTAATTATGTTGTCTGTGGGGTGTCTCACAGTGCTGCTACCGTGGAGGGTGAGTATCTTCTTGGATGCTCCCCCCAGCTATCTGGGTGGCTCGAATGGGCCACATCAGCAGGTGCTTCTCAGCCAGAAGCCAGGTAGCCCAGCCTTGTGTGGAGCAGGGGCTTGCAGTGGCCCTCGGGGTGATGAGGAGGTTGGGGCCAGGTTGGTGTATGAACTCCCCACTGGATTTTCTTTTCTCTTCGGTGGTGGCTCTTTGAGCTGTTGGCTTGACTGGAAGGGCGTGACCTTTGTTTTAGCCAGCAGCATCAGGCTGGGAGGCAGGAAGCTACAGGTCTGCTCTGGCTTCCCAGGCTCACTGTTGCCGATTTCTCTAAGCCCTGACTTGCTCTCTGTAGAGGGGGGGACTAGGGAAGGTCCTCTCTCAGCATCCTTAGAAAGGGACAGGGTAGTGAATATGGATGGACAGGGGATACATGCTGCCTGGTTTTGGTTTCAGTGTTGAGGGCTGGATGCAGGCAGGAACTTAGAAAGAGATGTTAACAGCCATCAAATACACAAGCTTCTCCAGGGCTCACAGGGCTTCACACTTCCTTGTCTCCTCTTGGTGATTCATACCCATCCTTGGGACCTTTGTCCCACATGTCCCTTCTCAGTGCCTTTTTAGATCAAATAATTTTTCTTAAACCACATCCCCCCCTTTCCTGAGCCAGGGTTTTTCTTTGTAGCCCTGCCTGGCCTGGACTTGCTTTGTAGACTGGGCTGGCCTGGAACTCACAGCGATCTGCCTGCCCCTGCCTCCCTGAGTGCTGGGGTCAAAGGCATGCGCCACTGAACTCGGCTTCAATCACATTTGTGATTCAGTCAGGTAAGCTGAAAAGCACAAGACAAAACCTAACCCGCGCCTCTTAGGCTTCCTATCTGCTCGTGTGTAAAGATGTCATGATAGGTTGCTGGATGAGTGTGTCCTCGTTCATTCGTCTCTTGGATAGATTGGATTTCGTGCCTTGAGGTGTGGGAGATGAGAACATGTGCAGAGAGAACTGGCAAGATGTGGAAACTTATCCCAGGGTGTTTCCTGCAGCTCAGAGTCCCATCTTCCAGAGCTTCCCCGAGGAGAGAGCCTACGAACTGGAGCAGAATATGTATTTGAAGCAGGGGGAGGTAAGAGAGTGAGTGTCCCGTAAGACAGATCTCAGTTCTGTAAATAAAAGCCGAGAGATTCATTTTGGGATCTTTCCAGAAACTCTATTCCCAGGCTATTTATTTTAGGTTCCTATTTTAAGGTTTGTTTTTCTGGCAAAAGAATGATAAAGGCATTGGAGTGCTCTCAGTTGTTGGAAGGAAATTTTCCAACTTGGATGATCGGGAGCAATCAATTATCATGCTTGCAGGCGAGCTGGCGGTTCTCACAGTGGGCACTGCCCCGGGCATCCTAGGAAGACACAGAGATGCAGAGCATACAGGCTGGAGTGGATGCTTCCATTGATTTGAGTTTATATGAAGGCAGTGCCCATCACACACACTCAGACACAGACACAGTCTCTCTCTCTCTTCCTCTCTTACACACACACACACACACACACACACACACACACACACACTCGCATGCGTGCGCGGGCGCGTGCCGAGTGGACATGGCTAGCACCAGATATGTGCTGTGGCCATCAGCTCTGGGCTGAAACCATATTGGGCCTTGCCTATGTTTTAACTTTGAAATAGTTAAAAAAAAAAAAAAGTTTTATTTTTTTAAATAGAAGGGCCTGCTCTTCATAATTCACCACCTGTGTTGGACTTACACACAGAGATAGGGATTATTGACCTACCTGTGAAATGGACCTTAAAGATCTAAAAATTGAGTCCATTTAGTTTTAGCAAGGTAAGCTATTTTTGGTTGTTTTAAAATGGTACGTATTAACTGCGTGTGAGAACGTGCACGCAGCAGCACACATACAGAGATCATAGTTCCGCTTTGTAGGGTCCATTCTCTCTCTTCACCCTCATGTAGGAGCTGGGAATTGAGCCCTGGCTGTCAGGTTTGCAGAGATCACACTTTTCCCCTCTGCTGAGCTGTCCTGCTGGTCCAAGGTCAGCCATTTTTGGTTGGAAGCATCAGTGTGTCAGAGAAGGGAGGAACAGGCTGGGGAAGCCAGACATAGGTAGGGCCGAAGCCCAGCCGTGCCATCTGTAGTGTTGTTTCCTGGGACTGACCAGGATCAGATAACCATTTGATCTCCCTGCGCCCCAGTTTCCTAGTGTTGTACAGGAAAGTTTGACAGGTAGAAAAACGTGACGGTCTATACTCCATATACATGTCCTTTGCCGCTGTTTCTGCTCTTTGTGGTATTGGTTGTGTGTGCTGTGTGTCCTTGCTCTGCATTGCATCCTTCTATATTCTGACGCCAGAGTCCGGCAAGTAGCTGTCGTTCATGAACTGGTAGAGTAGGTTTAGTGAGGATGACCCTTGCCTGTCATTCACACAAGCGCCCACTGGCAGCCACAGAACTGGAGCCCACATCTTCTGAGGGCATCTCATATGATACCAACATAATTTAAGAGGGTGCGTGCGTGTGTGCGAGCGTGTGTGTGTGTGTGTGTTAATTTGCCTACTTAATATAGTCTAGAAATTTAATTTTCTAGAATTCCTGGGCCTGTTTCTGGAACTTCCCCATCCCAGTGCTGATAAATGAACCTTGGGGCTCTGTACATGCTAAGTAAGCAGTACCACTGAGCGCCATTTAGAGCCTGGAATGCTTTCCAAAATAAGAAGAGTGAGGCATCGAAATTTAATTTTCTCCAGTGTTTGCTAGATCAGCTTCAGCATCCCCACAAATAGGCAGGTGCCAGTGGAGGTCAAGGATGTGGCGCCTCTCTGGCGGTGGGTGAACAGATCATTCATAGATCAGAGGATTGACTCCGGGTTTAGGGCTGCCCTTAAAAGGGACTAGTCCCTCTGTTGGCAGTTGTAGGCCAGGCATTGGCCTTAGGGAGCAATGGTTCTACGCTCCGGAGGAAGACGACTACAGAGGGGCCTTCAGGATCATTCACTGATGAGACAGTCCGAGTTTGTGGACCATCTCCACCTGGCAGGGTCTATACTCTGTTGTGCTGTGCATTTTCTTGCTCAACCTCATCTGGTAGGGCATTGAATTTAGTTTCTAATCTAGACAGAAGTCCAGGAAGAGAGATTCATGTGAATGAAAGTTCAACTGCAGGCTGGCTGGTTTCATTTGAAAATGCCTGCCTAGCAGAGGGGGAATTCAGTGTTCTTACTGTCTCCTCGAGTCAGAGATCTGAGTGGTGACTCTGACTTCTGTAGCTGGTAGACACCGTTGTATGACTTCATTTACATTTTTATTTCTTTGGACATGTACTCACCTAGTCCAGACTTGCTGTGTAACCAAGGATGACCTGGGCTTCTCCTGCCCAGACCTCCCCAGTAACAGGATTACAGGTTGGGCCACAGCACCTGGTTCGGGTGGTGCTCCAGGGCTTGGTGCACACTAGGCAAGCACTCCACCAACTAGGCCACTTCACTGGCCCTTCTGTGTAGAATCTTGATGTTCTGGACGGGTGGAGCCACTGAGCTTAGAGGCCCAAAGGCTAGGTTTCTTACTCTTCAGGCTGTTCTCTTGAGTCTGGTGGTAAGAGGAATGAGAGTTTGCTCTTTCTGTGGCCTTATACTCGGTGCAGACAAGTATAGCCTGGAGTTAGCGTCTTCTACATTTCTAAGAGGGGGCTGGGGCCTCTCTCAGACCAGCAGCTGCTGCGGTGGTTGGGCTGAGAGGAGTCTGGGTCGCCATGGGGCAATGGCATATTTCTGAGGGTCTTCTGGTGTGCTGTAGACTAAGGGAACCTTTCCCTCATGTCACTGGCTGTTTTTTGGGGCATAATGGTTTCATTTTGGACTAGTAATGGTATTTCTGCTTCCGCAACCTGACTTTTCTTCAGTGTTTCATTCTGAGGACGTCCTCCATGTTTGATTCTGGGGAGTGTGTTTGGTCTTTGTGACTGAGAAGGACCTGCTTGGTCGGTATATTAATGGCCCCTCCGCTTGCTCTTACAGCACACGTGGAGAACGAGGAGCAGTACACCCAGGCTCTGGAGAAGTTCGGTGGCAACTGTGTATGCAGAGATGACCCAGACTTAGGAAGCGCATTTCTGAAGTTCTCTGTGTTCACCAAGGAGTTGACTGCACTCTTCAAAAACCTGGTTAGTGCTCGCTGTGTGTGCAGTTACGGTGTGTGCAGGGGCTGGCCAGGATAGCTTGTTCTCTGGCTCCTGTGGAACCTAAAATTATTAAAAAAAAAAATTATATATATATATATATATATATATATATATATATATATATATATATATATATATATATATATGTTTGTGTGTGTGTATACATATATATATTCACAGTGGGTAAATTTGGAATAGTTTACAGTTGTGGTTTTTTGTTTTTGTTTTTTCCTTTAATATCACTTTAACTTGGCAGGTTGGAATGGGTAAATTCAGTTATCTTCTTAAGGGCCTCTGACTGGTGTGTTCTGGGTGATGTCTAGTATACTTTCCTGTTGCTGTGAAGAGGCTCCATGGCCAAAGCAACTTAGAGAAGAAAGAGTTCATTGGGAGCTAGCTTATAGTCCTAGGGGGTTAAAGGTCATGACCATCAGGAGGGGAGCATGGTGATAGGCCAGCATGTACCATATGAGGCAGAGAGAGAGAGAGAGAGAGAGAGAGAGAGAGAGAGAGAGAGAGCATCAGCTACTTGGAAGGATTTAGTTCTGCCAACTGGGACCAAGCATTCAAATATACTAGTCTATGGGGTCCATTCTAATGCCACATGACTGTAGGCATCCAGATTGGTACTATCTAATGAATATACTTCAGACTTAAAAGGTAATCTATACTTAAACAAACAAACAAACCATCCCTATACACAGAAATTACCATGGATATTTAAAGAATCTCAGGTCAGAAAGAAAGGCTTCGTGAGCGGGTAGAAGCTGTGGCCAGTGCTTGGTAGCATGGGGCTGAATCAGGCATTTCTTGTGCTTGGTGGCTCAGTGCCGGCCCTGCTGTGGGAACAAGATTCTGAAGAAGCAGGCGAGAGGGCTGTTTGTGATCCTGCCCTGGAGATATCCCAGCAGTTCCTTCCTGTTTTTCTCCCCAGCTTCTCCTAAAGGCTCCAGAAGGCTAGGTCAGGACTCAGTCATGCTCTCTGTGGAGGTCACAGGCAGCAAAGTGTTTTCATTTCTCCTCTCAGCTCCTGACAAGGGAAGAAACAGCTCATCTGTGGGCGGGAAGTGGGGCATGGAGTATATGGTTTTATTACAGGAAGGGCAGAGAGCAGGATCATTTCAGCTGCTCCCCCCCTTCCATCTTCTCCTGAAGATACTTCCTTACAGACAAAAGACTGTCACTGTGCTTAGGTTGGTGGTTTGCTTATTTGATTTAACGTAAATGAATTTAAAACCTCTTGGAGAACGAAGGGCGTGGAGGGCCTGGAGTTGCACAGCAAGCTCACAGCTAGCTCAAAGCAGCTCCTCTCCCCAGCTTTTATTTTCTGTAAAAGCAGGAGGCGAGCAGGGCAGGGCCTAGGTGCTGTGTCTGGCACATTGCCCACCGCGCTGTGGTGAGTACCATTTGCGGCACTTAAAGAAAAAAAACAACACCGAGTTCAGTCGCTGTCAGACTTTGTTCAGAGTGGAAGTCTCAGTGGGCAGGACAGGGTAGCATTCCTGGTATGGCAAGTGTGCGCATTGAAGATACCCTGTTTCCTTCGCTTCTGCTGGCTGCAGTGCGGGAGAGCTTGTCCCACCACCTCGTGAGCATGGGGTGCATAAGCTAGATGATCTGTGGGGCCTCAGCTGGGGTGAGGGACTGTCTTGGGGTTCAGATGAGGCCCCACAACCCAAACTCATGAGGCTTTTCACCATTGACACCCAAGGAGGCTGCTTGCTGGTACTTGGAGGGACGAAGGACGGACCATGAAAGAAAGCGATGCAGGGGAAGGTGCAGTGGTTAGACAGCCTGAGGGCTGGATGTCCTGCCAGGAGCACAGCTTGGTGAACCTGAACAAGTGGGAAGGGCTTGCGCAGGGGCGGTTAAGACCTGGGAACTTAGGGAACCTGGCCCTGGTGTCTCTGAGGACGTGTGCTTTGCTTTAAGCTTCAGAGCTTTTACTTTGTGGACGCTGTCAACCATAGGAAAGCTGAGCCACAACTCCTGAGCTGACTATGGGAGAATTCACCTTTTTGGGGGGATATGTTTTCTCCCTCACCCTGCCACCTCTCCCTCCCTTCCTTCCTTCCTTCCTTCCTTCCTTCCTTCCTTCCTTCCTTCCTCCCTTCCCTCCCCCCTTTCTCCCTCCCTCCCTCCCTCCCTCCCTCTTTCATTCCTCTCCTCCCTGTCCTTCCTCTCCCTTTCCCCCATCTCCTCCCCCATTCACCTTCCTTACTCCTCAGAGAAGGGAGAGGCCTTCCATGGATATCAGCCTGCCTTGACACATCAAGTTGGAGTAAGACTAGGCACATCTTCTCCTCTTGAGGCCAGACAAGGCAGCCCAGCTAGGGGAAAGGGAGCCAAAGGCAGGCACCAGAGTCAGAGACAGCCCCTGCTCCAATTGTTAGGCAACCCACATGAAAACCAAGCTGCATATCTGTTTTTTATGTGCAGGGGCCTGGGTCTGTCCCAGGCATGTTTTTTGGTTGGTGGTTCAGATTCTGTGAGTCCCCATGGGCCCAGGTTAGTTTACTCTGCATTCTTTCTTGTGATGCCCTTGACTTCTCTGGCTCCTTCAGTCCTTTCTTTGCCTATTCCATAGGTTTCCCCAAGCTCCAAATGTTTGGCTGTGGATCTCTGCATCTCTTTCCATCAGCTGCTGGGTGAAGCCTCTCAAAGGACAGTTATGCTAGGCTCCTGTCTGCAAGCATAGCAGAGTATCATTAATAGTGTCAGGAGTTCGCTCTCTTCCATGGGATGGGTCTCAAGTTGGCCAGTCATTGTTGGTCATTTTTTCACTCTCTGCTTCATCTTTATCACTGGGCCTTTTATAGGTAGGACAATTTTGCTCTACTATGTTCATAGCAGTTTTATTCCTAATAGCCAGAAACTGAAAACAACCTAGATGTCCCTCAACCAAAGAATGGATGACAAAAATGTGGTACATTTACACAATGGAATACTACTCAACTATTAAAAACAAGTACATCATGAAATTTGCAGGCAAATAGAGGAACTAGAAAAGATCATCCTGAGTAAGGTTACCCAGACCCAGAAAGGCACACATGGTATGTACTCATACCATGTATGAGTATTAAATAAATAAATTATAATCGCTTATAAAATAAGCGATTTTAGCCATGTAGTACAGGATAAACATACTCCATATGACCAAAGAAGCTAAGGAACAAGAGGACCCAAGAGAGGATGCTTAAATCTAACTCAGAAGAGGAAATAAAACAGACATCAGAGGTAGATGGAGGGAGGGAAGTGGATGGGAGGTGGCGTAGGGAGGGGAATAGGATCAAGTGTGGGGGACTGAGGGAGAGAGAACTGGGAAACAAAACTGAAATCAATGTATGTGTGTGGGGGGGCACAGCTATGGAACGAGTCAGAAGCCTAGAACATGGGAAACTCCCAGGAATCTATGAGAGTGACCCTAGCTAAGACTCCTAGCAACAGGGACACGGAACCTGAAATGGCCACCTTCTGTAACCAGGCAAGACTTCCGATGGAGGGATGGGGACAGCACTCCACCCGCAAAACTTTCCACCCGAAATTGTGTCCTGCCTATAAGAGGGGGTGTGTTTTCAAAGCCTCACGTTTTAGCCACACCTGGCCCATCTCATGTTCTCAGAGTCTTTTCTTTGATCTCCCACAAACATTTAAAAAGCAGTTTAGTATAGATGAGACTCTCAGCTCCACCTCTTTGCAGAAAGAATAATAATTACCACCTGCCTGTTTGGAGGCCTGGAAGGACGATTCTGAAGCAGTTGGAATGGCTCCAGGGAAGGCCTACTTGGTATGAAATGAGATTTTCTTCCTGAGGGGTAAGACTCTCACTCTTAAAAGCCCAAGCAGTCGAGCAGAATAAAGGGAGAAACCAGGCAGCTGCAGAAATCTAACACCCCGACATCAAACAAGACATAAAGACAGCTCGGGTTCTTAGACTCTTTTCCCCATCTCAGATGCACATGAGAATCCTGGGGAGGTTTTCCCAGGACTGCTTCTGTCACGAGAAGGGGCTTTTAGGTGACAAGCCTCAGACCAGGACTGACTCCTGCAAGGTCAGCTGCAGACGAACATTCTCACCTCTGATAGCAGAGAATGGGACATGGACAAGGCCCTCGTGGTCACAGAACTGGCCCAAGTGAAGACCAGAGTCCATCAGAACAGGAGCCAGGGAAGTGGGGGCTGAGGGCGGAGTTACCGAGTGAGAGCCACTGTGCCCCGGAGCTGAGGAATTTCCATCCTTTCATACCAGAAGAGGAACCGGAAGTCCACCAAACATCTTGTCCCTTTATCATCATTGCTCTTTGTGGCTGCCTGGCATTAGAAGACACTGTAGCTGCAAGTGAAGCAGGCTAGCAGGCTCTGTTTTCAGGAGCAGCAGTGAGTCCCTTTGGTATATGGTGTGCCTGGCAGCCCCTCCTACACTTCACCTAGAAGAGAGTCTCCCTGTCACCTGGCACAAGGGTGTCCCACTTCACCTACCTTCACCTCCCGAATGCTGGGATTAAAGGTGTCACCACCATGGCAAAGTCCAAGAAAGTGGGAGACACTGTCGTGGGAGGGGTTAGGCTACCTAGGCCCCCTGGCACAGGGAGAAGGGCTGAGACAGATCCTAGGAGCAGGCTGGGCATTTTGCTGTGTACAAGCTGGTACTGTATGAGCCAGCAGGTTCCACGATGCCCATCTTTTATGAGCACCTACTGTGTGCTTGACACGCTGCTAGCAGTTCCCAGAGTCCTAGAAGCCATGCAAGCTGTCCCTCTCCCATTCTGGTGTGAAAGTTGCCAGGGCATTTTTGGCAGCTGGCATCATCGTGGTCTTTTAGCCACTCAAGATCAGTGTGAGCTTCCTCTCTCCCTTTCTAATTAAATAAACTTACCAAGGTGACTCTGCTGACAGAGACAGGATGGAGGGCATCTGTGCACTAGGCTTTCCTGGAGCATCCCCAACCGTGTGTGTGTGTATGTGTGTGTGTGTGTGTGTGT